ATTAATGTGTGTGTAAATATTAAGCTAGTGCTCTTCTGAAGTGCTAGTGTGGACATATTCTTATGAAAGCATTTGTGTGTTATGAAGTGCAGCAGTTGCATAGAGTTCTAGTAGTAAAAATTCCCTCAAAATAGAGTTTTGTAACATCCTTCCTGGGGAAGGCGGTGGTCAGTATCAGTGCAAATATCTTCTAAGGTTACAGTGTGGAAACAAAATTTAAGACTGTTGTGTAGTCTTTCTGGCAGCTGCTTTTCATCTACTGGTTAATTAAGCATAAACCCTGCAGACTTTAAAAATGGGACTCTTTCTATCATCTCTGTCAGAAAATGGATTAGATACATGGAAATGAAGAAGTACAAAGAATACACAAATTTATTTACTTACTTTTTGGCAAAGAAAATTAGAATATCTCCGTTTTTTATATTGAAATGGCATTTATATGCTGTCACTGCAGCTCTTTTTTCACATTGTTATTGTATTACTTGAACAAATTTTGCCAACTGATGCAGTTACGTAATCTGCAGAACTAGAGCAGGGCTGGAGTCAACTTTGGAGGTATTTGACAGACAGGGCTTGGGTGGAACTGGACTTGTATTAAGGAAGAAATGCTGGAATATGCTCTAACAGAATCATGATTTACCTTGCTTGTCCTGCCCTGAAGCATCCCTTTTCCCAGAGCTGGGTAGCTAAGTTGTTTTTATGTCCACACCAGATTATAAAATCCAATGCATGTCACATGGAACAACTCTGAAGTGTCTTCAAAGGCAATGTAAGCAGTCCCTAAGGATTGTGAAATTAGGAAATGGAAGTTGTACAGTTCTGTTAAATCCTTACCTTTTAGTGTAATACTAAACTTATCTTTAGGCAGGTGTTGGATGGATGCTTTGGAGCTGGCACTGAAATGTTCAAGTCTGCTTAAACGTACAATGATTAGGGAAGGTAAAGAACACGATTTGAACTCTTCAGCAGACAGTACTCACGTCTCTTTCTATGGTCTGCTTCGTGCTAACAACACGCACAGCGGAGAAAACTTACCGTAAGTGGATTAATTACTACGTCTGATTGTCCTTTTGGCATAACCCTGTAGTGATAATTTCTCCCCAGGAAGACTAAGGCTGCAGTTCTTTTTGCTCCTGAATTCTCTTTATACGCCTTATTTGCACTGTGTTTTATACTGTATGCACATGAAAAAAAAAAAAAAAATCTTTTTTCAAGCCAAGTGGATCAAGAGGAGTTTAGCCTAAGGAACTTGAAATTGAGTTATCATGTCACTAAGTTTAAGTACTCAAACTGTTCAAGACAAAAAACCCTAAAGCTTTAAGCTGATGTCTCATGTTAGCTTCACCAGAAAATCATAAGTTTAGTACGTGTGGCAAAAGTTGGTAGATGTGAACATAAGTTGCTGTTCTTTAGTTCAAGAAGTAAATAACCCTGTCTTTATATTTATAAATAGCTTCACCATGGATGAATAATGATTCAGTAACTCTATGGTTAAATGAAGTGAATGAAGGTCAAGTTGTCTGGTATCTCCTGGTATCTAATGCCTGAGCACCCCTCAGTAACTCCCTACTTATTTCAGTAAATACTTGCAGCCAAGTTTTTGTGAGCATAGGCTTTTGTGGAAACACATTATTAAACAAGTGTGGTGAATGGTGTTTTAGACACTTCAGTTGTGCTACCAAAGTGCATTACAAAATATGAAAGATTTAGTCCTTTGAAATAATTGATTTTGAAGCTTGTGCTAAGCACAGTTTCTCTTAGTAATCTTCTATCAGTTCAATATACTCTAAGGTGGATGTAAATTTATTTCAAATATTTATTTCAAATAATCCCTCCCACCTCCCACCTAGCTGTCCGTTTGTCTTTTCTGGGAGGGCAGAAATTTTATACTGCTGTTAAGAGTATACTCCTGTATTTGAAGCAGAAGACCTGGACTGGGAGAAATGCATTTCTTTCTGGCATAGGTGGTCTGAGAAAAGCACAGAAAAGGCAAATTGTTGCCTCAGCAACAATTCAATGCTGTATCCAAATGACCAAGCTTGGCTCACCTAGTTTTTTTTCCTTCCATTATCTCATGGAAACAATATAACTGCTGTCTACAATTCAGCTGGAGATCTATACTCTTGAATAGGAGTTGAATATCAGCAGCTGGCCCAGATAACAATCACAGCAATTAGCTACAGCTGTTTAGTCTAATTAAGACTAATGGTTTAATTAAGTAGCTCCTTTGATATAGCATATTCTAAGAGTATTCAGTGTGCTTAACTATCTTGAGTGACAATACTGACTGGTCTAGTTTCAATGGGGTTGGCAGGAAAGGGAAAACAAAGGTGAAAGCAATATTAGCTTTAACCCAGCAAGAGCTGTTCTAAGTAGCTTAATAGCAAGAGGAGGTTGGAGGAAAACATTTTTGAACATGGTCACCTGAAAACTGGGGATGAAGAAAATGCAGAGACATTCAGTGCCTTTTTCTTTTTTTACCGCAGTAATTAATAATACCAGTAGACCTTGGGCTGCCTGATCCTCTTGAATCAGAGGCCCATGAGTGCAGGACCAATTACTTTTTATTGATGGACAGTAAAGTTGTAGGAGACCAGTGGTGTATCAGTCGAGTGCTTGTGAGTCCATGGGGTCTGATGGGATTCATCCCTGAGTAATGGAGGAGCTTGTGGGGATGTTATGGCAGATACCTTTCAGTCATCTACCAAAGGTCTTGGGAGTCTGAGGAGGGCCCCACTGACGGAAAACTACCCAACAGTATCCAGATTTACAGGAAGGACCTAAGGGAAGACCCCTCTGAGTCTAACCCTAGTACCTGGAAAAAGGGAGATCATACTGTGTGCTATTGAAAGACATTTAAAGAATAATGTAATCATCAGACACAGTCAGCATGGCGAAAGTTGTGTTTAGCTAATTTGATATCCTTCTGGATGAAGAGAAAGCATATACTTCTTATGAATTTTAGTAAAACTTTTTATACTGTCCCTCACAGGATCCTTCTGGACAAGTTATCCAGCCATGAGATGAGCAGGGTCACGATGTGCTGGGTGAAGAACTGGGTGAATGGCAGGACTCGAAGGGATGTAGTGAACGTGGCTACAGCTGGTGGGAGACCAGTTACCAGCAGTGTCCCCCAGGGCTCAATCTTAGGGCCTGTTGTGTTCGCTGTTTTTTATCAGTAATCTGGGTGCAGGAGTTGAATGCACCATTAGCAAGTTTGCTAAGTATACCAAACTGGGAGATACTGCTGACTCCCTCAAGGGTCAAGAGACCTTGAAGAGGGGGATCTAGATAGATTGGAGCATTGGGCAGTCATCAATGGCACGAAGTTTAATAAGCCCAAATGTTGGATTCTGTAGCTAGGGCAGAGTAATGCCAGGTACAAGTATAAATTGAGAGAGGAGTGGCTGGAGAGCAGCCCTGCAGAAAGAGGTCTGGGATGCTGGCTGATAGCAGGTTCAACATTAATCAGCAGTGTGCCCTGGCAGCCAAGAGGACAAACCCCATCCCGAGGTGCACCGAACACAGAAAACCTGGCAGTCAAAAGAGGTGATTATCCCACTGTATTCAGTGTTCATGTGGTCTCACCTTGAGTACTGTGTGCAGTTCCGGGCCCCAAAATTGAAGAGGAGTATGAATATGTCCTGAAGAGGGTGACAAAGCTGGTGAAAGGGCTGGAAGGCAAGTCCTGTGAGGAGCAACTGAGAACTTTCAGTTTGTCTAATTTCAAGAAAAGGAGGCTGAGGGACAACCTGATTCTCTTACAGCTTCCTGAGGAGGGGAACTGGAAAGGGAGGTGCTGATCCCTTCTCTCTGATATCCAGGGATAAGGAGTATGGGAATAGTTCAGAACTGCATCAGGAGAAGTTAGGACTGAATGTTAGGGAGCATTTCTTTACTGAAAGGATGGTCAGACACTGGAACAGGCTTCCTAGAGAGGCAGCTGCTACCCCAAGCATGTCAGTGTTTTAAGAGTCATTTGAACAATGCCCTTAATAACATGCTTTATCTGTTGGCCAGGCAATAGGAATAGAAGACTTGTAGGTCCCTTCTAAACTTGGTGTGTTTGACAGTTCAGTGAGAAGAATACATCCTGTATGTTTCCAGCAAAGATAGCTTGACTTTGCTGCCAGATAAAGCTTGATAGTGGCAATTTTAATGTATATTTTATTAAGATCCTGGTTTGGAAATGATGAAATATTATGCGAAGTTGAAGATTCATTTAGACTTTTACTTTTAATAGGTTAAATGACAGTGAAATTGAAAGGCAGCACTTTAAAGATCAAGATATGTACTCTGACAAATCAGATAAGGAAAATGACCATGACCATGAGGAATCCGATAATGACGGATTGGGGAAGAGCGAAGAAAGCGACAGTGACACATCAGAGCGACAGGATGATTCTTACGTCGATCCAGAACCAATTGATATTAAGGAAACTACTTACTTAGAACAGAGTCATGAAGAACTTGGGGAGGTAAAAGTGCTGTTGATGTATGTAGTCTGCAAGCAGCGTCTTCAAACACAAAGCTGAGATTTTAGGGGTCAGACTACCCTTGAAAGCTGACTTGCAGGATTGGCTTTCGTATTTTCAGCAATAATGGGTGGAAAAGGTGCTGTTCATCTCTGTTCTGCTCTGCTTTGCCGCTCTTGTGCTTATGTATGGGATTTTAACAAGGAGAATGAAATTACCTGGAATATTGCTCAGACAGAAGGTGCTATTTGAAAGGGCCACCTACAGGAGAATTTGACCATGTCTACCTATCCTTTTGTTAAATCTATTTGTCCTGTTTTTTTTCTCTAAGTTAAAGGCAGGGTTCAAACTGACAACTTCTACCACAAGAGAGAAGTTACGCAGCTATGGGGAGTTTAAGTTGGCAGTAAATTCTTAACTGCATTTCAGAACTGTTCTGAAAGAGGTGTTTTTTTTCTTGCTTTTCCTACAACCATTGCTTTTGGTTTCAGAAACTGTAAGGAAGAATATCTCCCCTTTTCTTGGACTGAAAAAGAGAATATTGGCGTGTGTTTGTCTGCTGGTTTTGTTCACTTACCCTGAAGTCACGTGTTGGTTTTTTTATGGAAAATGACTGGTACTGCTGACTGGTCAAGCCATAAATGTGTCAGCTTTCAGGGCTGGGAAAAGCTAGTAGAATGAACAGCCCCTTGGTACCTAAGTCCTGCATGTGATAACAGGGTAATATACTAATGCCTAGGAAAGGACTAAGGGAGGATTTCTGAACAACATTCTACCTCAAATTTTTCTGGTTTAGGGCTGATGAAAACAAATGCAGTTGTTATTAATCATGGTTCTATGATTGATGCTGAATCGTATATTTATCATACTTCATTAAAGATGTATCTTATTTGTATTTATAGAAACTTGATCTTTTTCTGTGGTTGCTTCAGCATCTCTGGCTCATTTTGAGCATCCATTTTCCATTCTCACTGCAACCTTAGAATCTGTTGACCTGTCTTCTGGAGGATCATTTTCTTCCTCCTTTCTGTAAGCAGTTTTTTTGTTCATCCTAGGCAGGGGAGGCTGCTCAGACAGAAGTAGTGTCAGAAGAAAACAAAAGTTTGATCTGGACACTACTGAAGCAAGTCCGGCCAGGAATGGACTTGTCCAAGGTTGTACTGCCTACATTTATCTTGGAACCTCGCTCTTTCCTGGACAAGCTGTCTGATTACTACTACCATGCAGACTTTCTGTCTGAGTGAGTCAATCCTCTCTCTGGTTTTCATTATTTTCATTATTTACATTAAAAGTGGAGTATTAAAATTGAATATTAAAATAGGGTAGCAGTAGTTACTGAAATGTTTCATCTGGTCTACTTAACCATCAGACTCTTCGAGTGTTTGTCTAAGAGAGTATCAGTCATCAGATATCCTTATTTTCTGAAAGCTAACTGCCTAAGAGCTCCTATGGTACATCTTAAGGTCTGTCCCCTCTCAGTAATAGCAATCGTCTTGCGGACATTGCTGGTTTAGCTTCTGAAGAATGGTTAGAAGATTCTCAAACGTAGTTTAATTTTTTTTCCTCTCAGAAGCATATTTAAAATGGTAAACCAGTACCACTTAAACTTTTTAATATGGTGTTAAGTTCTGTCCAGATTTATAGTTGCCTGCTCACATGTAGTTAATAAATTGAAATACTATTCAACTCAGAGCTCTTTATGTGAGTAGGCCAGTTCTCTAAAGTGGTATCTTATAAATGGAAGAACTCGAGTGGAACAGAATTAATGTTCCAAAAAACAGACTCAAATATGGAAATAGTATATCTGATTTTGTTTTATTTCCATTTTCAGACAATTATTTGAAACATTTGAATTTGGTGCGATCAGGCTGAACATTTTACCATACTGGAAATCACAAACCTGTTGCTTTAGTCAGCTCAGATTCAAGATACATCACAACAATTGATAGTGTGTTATAACTGAGACAATATTGATATTTGATCTGTGTGTTCTGTCTGTTTCCTAGAGCTGCTCTTGAAGAGAATGCTTACAATCGCATGAAAAAAGTAGTGAAGTGGTATTTGTCAGGATTCTACAAAAAGCCAAAGGTGGACTTTCACATATTATTTTGCATTTAGTCACTGTGTCTAGTTTGAGGGCTTAGGGATGTCTAGGCATAAGTTTTTCTTTTTAAATTACGTTGTTACACATTTTTTTAAAAGCAAGATTGTTTTCATTACTTAAACAAAAATATCATGGAACGTTTTGGTCCCTAGCCATGCTTAAAATAGATTATGTTCAATTGCTTTTGTCCCTTGGAGTAGAAGCTGAACTAAATGTTTTCTGATAACATTGAGCCAGTTCTCTATTTATCATTCTTCAATGATAACATTCTGCAGTTGGAGGATTAATGTTTCCACTACTTCATTTAGCTTTGAAATAAATACTCTTTATAGTCATGTTGATGGGAAACAGTATTGAAAGAAAGTGCTTAATACCTAACTTCAGTCACAATGTCTATAAGAATACTACAAAACAAAACAAAAAACCAAGTCTTGTTTTCTGTGTGCCCTTACATGCAGCCTGGAATAGATTTGTGGATATACTAAATGTATGAGAATTCTTCCTTAGAATGAAGAGCAGAGTAACTGAACATAATATTCCAATGATGAAATCAAGTACCATGTACTTTAGCATATATATTATGATTGTATTTTTGTGTGTGTGTGCCTTGTCTTCAATGAGGGACTGATAAAATACTTTGAGATTTGTGTACGTGCATAGTATGGTTACTCTCTATTCTATTTCTGTTTAGGGACTAAAAAAGCCGTACAATCCTATACTTGGAGAGACTTTCCGCTGCATGTGGATTCATCCAAGGACAAATAGCAAGACTTTTTATATTGCAGAACAGGTAGCTGCAATAACTGGAACAAATATTTTGAGGAGAAATAAATGTGTTGTATTTTTGTGCTAACTAAATGACATGGTAGTTTGAGAAAATGTAGTGAAATGTATCCTAAAAGCTCTCCTGGTGAGTGTAGTGTTTTTACAGCTGTCTCAAAGTGTGCCTTCCTGGAGACAGAAAATGTCAGGTGCTTATTTTCTGAACTCTTGAAATTCAGTAGGTGTTTGCTTCATCTTTAAAGATTACAGTCATGTTTCACATATATTGACTATATTCTAATAGCTGCAGCCTGAATTTTGCATTCTGTCATTATACTGTATTTGCATGTTCTTGTTTTTCTTTTTTTTTCCCTTTTTTTTTCCTTTCAAATATGTGGCGTTTTTTCCAACAGGTATCACATCATCCTCCAATATCTGCCTTCTATGTTAGCAACCGCAAGGATGGTTTTTGCCTTAGTGGTAGCATTCTGGCCAAATCAAAATTCTATGGTAAGTAATGGGGTTGGTTTGGTTGTGCTTTTGTTGAGGAATGTGAAATTGGTGCACATGAGCTGTGTTTTGTGCATGAAAGAAGGCTGGTAGAAGAGTCGGTGGTTTGTTCATTGTATTCTCCTTTCCTTACAGAGTTTTTGCTACTGGTCTTTGGAATTTTAATTTCTATTTTCGGAGTATATTCATTTTTAATTGGACACACTGTCAATTAGTGTGGCTTCACTAGACAGGATAGATTGTAGTGCTAAATATACTGATGTTCTTAATTTTATTAATCATTTATTAGGAAATGTTCACTGTTGTCTTGCAGGGTGAGAAATGTGATGTTCTGTCTTTGAATTTCAGGGAATTCATTATCTGCCATACTAGACGGAGAAGGACGGCTAACATTTCTAAATAGGGGAGAAGATTATGTAATGACGATGCCATATGCTCATTGTAAAGGTACTGGGAGGTTTTATGCTCTAGATGGTAAACTTAAGAGAACAGAAGTTTGTTATTCTAAATAATGTACTGTGTTGGATTCAAGCTTCTCATCTGAGTGTTCTGAACACTGGCAACATTGGTGGCTCTAGGCTTCCACATACTTTATCAGGAGAAAGATACATCTGTTGTTTAAGCCATGTTTAATTTTTTGGAAGAGGAAAATATTTTTTTCATAAATAGCAAGAGAATATATATAGCTATATGTCACTATGTGATAGGAATTTACTGTTTGAGTTGCCTTTTTCTTAAAAAAGTTTTGAGCTTTTCCAATATTTTTCTCTTGTAAATATAAAAGGTAGTATAGTATCTGCACTGTATGGTGTGATTTGAGTATAAATCATGAACATTTGTCTTTAGTTTCACTATAGGAAACCAGTCAGTAATTTGTAAAGCTTTCTGGAAGGTCAGTAGTAGTACTAAATACATTGCAGAATTGCTCATTTTTAAGCTGTTACTTGTTCAGGATTGTCCACCCATATATTCTAGTATTCCCATTCAGAAGTGTGACTATAGGGTCAACAAATATATATTTTTTCATTTCAGATGTATGAAAATCAATTAGCAGAATTAGGTAATTTGATGTGTTTAATAGCCTTCTCTCTTTCTATTGTTCTTTAATGTTTTTAATAGTGTTGAATTTTTTTTTATGACTTCGGTGACAAAAATAATACTTAAGAGTGAAAGCACATAACATATATACATACCTTCAAGTCAAGCAGGAAGGAGGACTAGTGTGACTAATAAAGCTGATAGAGAGGGAGAATGTGCATGTTGAAAAAAGCACATGTGCACATGCATCCACTGTATGTGTGATACATTCAGTGAGTCAAACACTGGATTGCAAGGGCAAAGATGGTAATCCTGGGAATGAAAGTATATTCAGCATTGTCAGCCTTGTCCTTTCAGAAGTCTTTAGGGAGATGATCAGTGTTGTCTTCTATTGGTTGTCTTTGACTGTCTTCACCTGTGGCCTGACTGGATATTCTGCATCTGTTTGAGTGAAGTTTTTCTTTGCTCTCTTTGTCATAGATAATTTTCTTGTCTTAATCTTGGAAGCTTCCCTCCTCCAATCATCTCCAGTTGGAGACACCACCCTTGCTAGAGACAGCAGGGTACACTGCCAAGGATATGTCTTAATAAACTGTTTATTATCTGTAATTTGCTTAGATCTTTTTGTTTATGTTTGCATTATCTTATTTGGCAGAAGGATCATGATTATCATTAGGAAAGGTCATCTGAAAAGACAATTTTTCCTCTGGCACAAACATGTTTACTCTAGGAGTTGTACCCAAATAATTATTTTTTTTCTTGTTCAGTTATAAACATTGGTTTCAGTGGCTTCTTTTCTTTATCTTGCAGGAATTCTTTATGGCACAATGACCTTAGAGCTTGGAGGAACAGTCAACATCACCTGTGAGAAAACTGGCTACAGTGCAACAATTGAATTCAAACTCAAGGTTAGTAAATGCTGTGAGAGGGCGCAAGAAGGAGACTTAGTAGAATGGTACTTTAAAAAAAAAATCAATAGGCTACTCCTTAGATATGGTCTGATTTAATATGGAATTGTCTTTTTGGAAATGGAGAAATTTTTGTTTTAACTGCTACGTATCCAGCTATGTGTATCTAGCAAACTGTGATTTGGTTGGGATTTTTTAATTAGAGGAATTATGTTGTCATATCTTTTCTTAATATATTCTTCTGGGCCCAGAGGTTTTGACTGAAATTTACAGTGCTGTTTTCATCTTTGGTGATAGGAGATGCAAACATATTGCTAGTTGTATGACTTTAAAGAATGGCTCTAATAGGGAAAAAGCAATGATCTGTCTCATCTCCACCAGTGTGTGTCTAGGAAAGTGGAGGAATAGGGGAAGTGTTTAGCAGTCTGATCAGTATTTCAGATGTTTTCTGTATTGTTGTTAATATACCTTGGTGATTTTTAATTCTTTAAAAATATTCAGAGTCCTTTTTAAGTCCTGGAGAGCTCTTAGAGAAGAACTCAGACCCAGGTTTCCCTTCTTCTATCCTGGGTAAATTTAAGTTGCTCATGACACCTTGAATAAAGATGATTCAAGGGCTAACAATTGGCTAACATTTGTCAGCCTAATGCCCAGTGCTAAGCAACAGTTTGTGGACTATTTTTTGGCAGCTGTGCGTGCTGCAGGAACATTTCTCCACTCACATAAGCTAAGCAAAGGTTTCTAAACTACTTCTAGATGGCTTGCAGTTCTGAAAAATATATTTGCCATCTTTGAGGCAGAACCTGATTTAAAGCTGAACAAATAGTTGTCAAGTGTGCACTCAGAAGGAAACTATTCAGCTGGAATCAGTGGGAAATGTAAAAGTTAGGAGGCTGTTAACCGATATTTTGCCTTGTCAGTCCACAGGATATATGTGCAGACTATCAAAAGGCAAAAAAAAAAAAAATCCCTAGCAATTGTTGTTGTTGTTGCTTCTGTGAGGGTTATTCTCTAGTAACAAATGGTCCTTGGCAAAGTGGTGAAATCAGTGTAACAGACGACTGTGTCCTCTGGGATGTCATTTTGTCACTGTTTTCTGCATTATTTCTGTTTTCTTTCCACATTTCTTAGGCAATACTTTTGGTCAGCAAATCTTTTAAGAAAACTCAACGTTGAAAAAATACTTCTTGTGGTTTTACACTTCTTTTGGGGATTAATTAGGTAGAAAACATAATACTAAAAGCCATCAAGGCTGTTTACATTGCATTTCATACATTCATTTTTTTCTTCTTAACACTAAACATAGAAGGAAAAATAATATGTTACTAAATTAAACATGAAACCCTTTTTCTTTCCAGCCTTTTTTGGGTAACAATGACAGTGTTAACCAAATATCAGGGAAAATTAAACTTGGCAAAGAAGTTCTGGCTATTTTGGAGGGTCACTGGGTAAGTAGTGGTATTCAAAATTCTGGCTGACAGTTGAGACGGGTGAAAGTGGCACTTAGTTACAGAAAAGACTCAAGTTTAAAAAGAAGTTACTGCTTTTATAGAAACTGTCTTTATAGTTCTCAAGAAATTATAGAATCAGCATAGTGCTATTTGCAGCTGTTAAAAGGTGGAAAAGTTGTGCACATATGAGTAGTTCATGAAGCAAATACACTTCAGCTTGTTAAATGTTTTTGGTATATGTGTTAGTACTATGAAGAATTGTTATAGCACCAGCATGAAATATTTTAACTTGATTCAGTTCTGGAGAGATGACATGTCATCGCTGGCTTTTGGACATGATAATGGTTCCACTGCATCTCTGTTCCAAGTTTGAACCCAGCACAGAGTGCAGAAATAGAGGTTTAAAGTTAGCATACCTAATTATTCTTTACTGCATGCATTCAAAAGAAAATAAATTCTTATTTAAAAAAAACCAAACTTATTCCTCCCTTTTGTGTTATTTTGGCACTCTTTGAGATAACTGCAATTAAGGTAACTGAGTTATATCTGTTACAGGACAGTGAAGTTACTATTAGTGATAAGAAGACAGATGTTTCAGAGACATTCTGGAACCCAACATCTGATATCAAGCAGCGTAGGTTACCTAGATACACAGTGAAGTTTGAAGAGCAAGATGACTTTGAGTCAGAGAAGTAAGTTCACTTTAGAACCATGTATTTATTTTGACAGAAAAAAACTCATCATCTTCTCCAAATCGTGTTCAAATTATCATTTCTTGCCCATGTTTGATAATACTGCCTGCAAAGCAAGGAAGTAACTCTGTTAAATGAGATCATTTATTAACAAGTCTTACAATCATGGAAAGTCATGATTGAAACGTAGATGAAGTACATATTACAAATGGTAATACTCTGTTTAGAGGGCAGTCCATTTACTTAGCCTATAATTAAGGAAACTGTTTGCAATTATTTCTGTCAACCAGATTGTAACTGCATATTGTTCATTTGTCAGGCTTTGGCAACAAGTAACAAGAGCAATAAATAATAAAGACCAAACAGAAGCTACTCAAGAGAAATATGTTCTGGAAGAAGCTCAAAGAAAGAGTGCCAAAGAGAGGAAACTTAAGGGTGAAGAGTGGACGTGCAAGCTGTTCGATCAGGATTCAGTCACAGGAGAATGGCACTACAAATATGCTGAGTAAGTCCTGAAGTGCTCATAACAAAAACTGTTTGTTAAGTGCTTGGTAATGTTGTGGAGCCTCTTTCTGTGGTTTCAGGAGCAAAGGAACTAAGAGATTTTGCTTGCTTATGTATAGCAACAAATCTATGCTATGTTCTAGGTTATCTTGGGCATGGCACTTTGCAATGCATTGTGCTCCCTTCCCCCACCCCAGACTGATCAGAGCAGCTACACAGATTTTACCAAAGTGGAAAATATGGTGCATATGGGTATACCAGCTGGAAATTGGAAAATGTGCTGTCTGAAAATCAGAGGAATCTGTGCTTAGTTGAATTGTTCTATTTAATTTGTTAGATATAAGAATAACTCAGAATAATAACAGGTTTGCAGCTATGGTTAGTGCTGGGTCCAGGTGGCTCTGCTCAGCCATCAAATATGCCCTGGGCATATGAGAGTGTGAATCTCTTTGTGTGATGATCTGGATCAGAAGAGAAAGATGTAGCTGTCTCCCTGTCTGCTGGGTTGCAATCTGTGGTGTCACCAATGTTGCAAAAGTCAGTTTGGAGCTGAGCCCTTTACTAGTAATGGTTTTCATGAAACACCCACATTCTGCTGGTTGTTTTTCAGTATCCACAGCATGATTCTTTATTGTAGGGATTGTAAAAGTAAAATATCCAGAGATGATATACAAAGAGTTAAGTAACTCTGAAGCCATGGATGCAGGAAGTATATTCCCATGGCAAAACCATAAACCATGTATATGTATGTACAAGAATCCCGAGTACTCTTCATGTCTACAGCAAATTTGCAAATTGGAGATTTTCTGGAACCAAGGAGGGAATCTGTGTATTTAGCAACTCTCCATAAATCCATCTTCCATGAATTTCCTTGGTTTCCTATTACGTTTGTGTAGACTTTGACTGCTGAAAACATTCTGTGGCAGGGAAATTCCCCAACTAGACTAAATGCTCTGGGTAACACCCTCTCTTGGTCTGAACCCTCCAGTGCTGTTGATTCCTCTTCTGTTGGAAGAGTTTTGAACAGTCCAGCTGGATTGACTGCCCATAATGTTGAACCCTGTGAAAAGCCATTAGGGCAAGTGCTGCACTTCAAATATGTTAGACTATCCCCTGCAGCTTCAAGACCTGTCTTGTTAATCTGTATTATTTCTTGTGTCCTTGAGGCCTTGTGGTTCAAGAATGTGCCACAGAAATTTCACTATGTGCTGGCAAGCAGTCTGTACTGTCAGCATTCACAAGAAGCTTCTGTCTCCTTTTCAGCATATAATGCTGGCTCACCACCTGCTCCTTGCAGAGAGCAGTCTTTTATTTACACTTCCTGTGATACATGCGCTCAGTGAGCTGTGGCATTTGTTAAGGTATCTGGATTATGGATTTAGGCATCTGGATTTACAAACACAGAAGAAAGCAATGCCTAGTTCTTAACCCGATTACCTTAGATGGCATTTAATTTAAGCTGAGATGTAAATGCAGGTCTATGTTCACAACATCTGAAAGAGCTACAAACTATTTAAAAGGCAAACAGGAGGACATGAAAGAAAATCCATGCTTAATCTACTTTCACTAAAGCTGTGTGTCAGAACAGTCTTCTGTTCACTTGCAGTTTCTATCCTGAAAAGGCTGGAATCAGTGGGAGTGTTGGTCTTTGCCTTTGGGGGCTTGTTCTCCAGTGCCCTAGGTGTCTGAGGCTATTTTTGTGTGTTTTCTAAATTTCATATCAAAACTCTTCTTGGAAAGGCAGTCTTCAAAAAATCAGAACAAGAAAACTGTGCATAGCTCATTAGTGTCCCATGAAACTAGTCTTGATTACCATTAGCCACTTGAGGATGAAAGCAAATTTGAGGTAGCTGATTCTTAACCTCTCCTTCCTAAGCATCTTTTAAAAGGAAAAAAGCCCTACAACAACAAAAAAGAAGTCCAAAATTAAAATTATTTGAAATTTCCCTGTAGTTCTAAAATAATAACTATATTAAGCAGCAAATTTCTCCATGTTTGAATACATATCACTAGCAAAATAAATTCATTAATTATATTGTTGGTTAATACAATAGCTTGTACTCTTAACAGCTGGCTGAAGGTTTGACCTGGGTGAGTTTAGTTTTTAGCTCTCTTGACTCTTCTTGACTGGACTATATGTGGAAGATAAGATTATTTATTCCATGTCTCACTTCTATATAGGGAGAACTTTAACCCCTTCATACTAAGTAGTTTCTGAGCAGGGAAATATTTCTTATTTAAACTGCTGTAGTATTAATAACATTCACTTTGTCTAGTACCAGACCATGGGACCCCTTGAATGATATGATCCAGTTTGAAAAAGATGGCACAATCCAAACAAAAGTTCGACATCGGACACCAATGGTAGGTTCCAGTTCTGATAGCACGTGCAGCAAGATCCAGGGGCCTATATATGTTGTGCGTTATGTGTATAAAGGTCCTCAAAGCATTGGGAGTGATGGGAAATGCTATTACCCTATAAAAATGTTGTTTACCCAGTCCATAATCTTTCACTTCTGTGTTTCATCCTAAGCAGTGAAGATGACTAGATAGGAATATGAAGTATGCAAACTTGAACTCAGCACTTTAACTTCAAACTGCTTATACGTAAAGATTTTAACTTCCATTAAATATTGTGCTTTTAACTGTTACTGTTAGAATGTGCTGCATTACTGCAGTTCTCTGGAAATAACAGAAGTTTATAAACTTCAGGTTACTGTTCCAAAAATCAAGCGAAAGCCAGCCAGTCAGAAGAAAGGAGAGTGTGGTTTCTCATCCCCAGAGCCTGATAACCAGGATTCCTCTGGGAGTGAAGG